TAGGCCTGGAGCTCTTCTTCCTCCCACAGGCCCTGGCACAGTGCCCACATGGCTCCTATCTATGGAGATTTCAACACCGGTGACATTTTGGGTCATTTCTCCCCACCCCTAGTGGAAGATCTCACATAACCTCTCCATGTTATCTAAGACCTTAAGCAGTCTGCACCATTTTATTGAAACTCGGCATAGAAAACTCACCGAACTTCCCTTAGCACTCCTGAGGGATAAAGTCGCCAACTAGAAAAACTTGCTTCATTAAAGTGTCTAAAGAAAGTCCAAGTCCTTCTGCCATGGGCCCTGGTGGAAAGCATAGCCCAGGCCGACGCCCTGAGCAGGCACCTCATGGGGAACAGCAGGCGGGGCAGGGCCAACAGAGGGAACAAGGAAAACCGTTTAGGAGAAGTTTGGATCTGGATGTGCCTCAAAGGCTTACGTGTCAGCCTGTGGCACCACCGGGAAGTCGATGCTGTGGGAGGTGGGGCCTGGTGGAAGGAAGTGAGGTCCTTGGGGGCATGCCTTTCTCTCTCATTGCTCTCTGACCACCATGAGCTGAACCGTCCTCTTCCACGTGCTCCCACCATGGAGTACTGTACCACCACAGGCCCAAAATAACAGGGCTAAGCACCTCTGAAATGGTGATCCAAAATAAACCTTTCCTTCCATTAAGTTGATTTTCCCAGGTATTTTGTCACAGCAATGAAAGCTAATGAGATTTTTACCATCAAGCTGCATCTTTATCTAAGGTAAATTACACCAGCATGTAGCCAAGCCTTGGGCTTAGAGAGAGCTCCCACAGATCCTTATTCATACAGTCCAGACCTGTCGCGTCACACGACTGAGTCATTCAAGTCACTCCAAGTGAACTGGGCTGGCACGAAATAACCACACTGAGACAGAGAAAAATGCCTTTTTCTTGGGATTCTTCAGTGATGGCCCCTCGTGCTGTGTGGAGATCATAGGCAGAGGGAACGAGAAGGACACATATGTCACCTGCCCCAACAGAGGGTCTCGTCAGTGCCCTCCACTCATGTACTCAAGCTCCTAGTTCACACACACACAGCCTGTGGCTGGCTTGCCACACAGATCTACATATTTTCTTGTTATTGTCTCAAGTTCCTCTTATCTGTGTCCATTTCTCAGTAGTACTGTTTACTGGGATTTTAGCCCTGGAAGGGGTACATGTGAGAGAAAGAGAGAGAGAGAGAGCAAGCGCGCACAGTATATATATATATATATTTTTTTTTTCTTTTTTTAAGAGAGAAAGGAGAGAGAGAATTTCAACATTTATTTTCTAGTTCTCGGCGGACACAACATCTTTGTTTGTATGTGGTGCTGAGGATCGAACCCGGGCCGCACGCATGCCAGGCGAGCGCACTACCGCCTGAGCCACATCCCCAGCCCCACAGTATATTTTCTTTAGAGACATCTGAGACTTAAAAATCTGAATAAGCTTAACACACTTACTGCCATGAATAACTAAAAAGAACAAATTAAAAGTTTTTTTAAAAAGAATAGGTTTGACTATAGTCTTCCTCACTAAAATCAACCTGGCAAGGGTGTCGAGATCGAATGCCAACTGCATGCAGACACGGCCAGGGCACTGGGGAGGACTCAGCTCAACCACAAGGGGTCGAACTGGTTTGTGTAACTGGAAGGCTCGGAAGTGGGGGCTTCAGGGCGGGTTCCTCCAGGGGATCAGTGACACCACTGAAGACAGCATCTTCCCACTGTGCCTTCTGAGGGGACAGATCATGCTCAGCAGGTCTGCTCAAAGGGATCAACGGGCCTCACTGTCCTCATCACACCCACACATGCACCACTCGGGAAAGTCACCTCCTCACAGAGCTGGCTCAGAAGAGAGGACGATGCCCTCCCGGCACTGCCCTAACCCACACGCAAGTCCCCCCCCCCGGGGTCAGGAAAGGGCATGAGCAACTGGCATAGGCAGAGGGATGGGTCACCCGGGCTGGCTTAGCCCAGAGGGGCCACCAGGTCAGCTCCTTCTGAAGCTGACCGCTCCCCCTCCAGTGCTCACTGCCCAGCAGCCCGTCCAATGGGGGCCTCAGGCCTCTGGATGGGGGAAGAGTCCACGGGTGTTAAACGCTTCCATCCTCCTCATCTCCACAACCTGGCCCTCCACTCTGGAGCCCTGGGCCAGATCACTCAGCTCCAAACGTGCCCTCCGTGGGGTCTTCACCTGCTGTGTCCAGTTCCCAGCATAGTGCTAGGCAGAGTAAGTCCTGGGGAAAGGTCTGCACAGTCGATGGAGCTTCAAAAAGTGAGGGGTCACTGGGACCCCCGCCAGGGATGCGGCAGGGCAAATCTGCTCTCGAGGCCCAGCCTCCCCTTGCTAGAGCAGGGCTGGTGGCCCCTGGGCACGGGGTGGGTGGGCCTGACAAGCCGACAGCTGATGGTGTCCCCAGGGGCTGGAGCTGATGTCCAGGGAACTATCATACGGGATATGGGATAAGCCTGTGAGCCTCTACCCAAAGTCTCTTCGGGCTTTTGTAGCAATGAGGGGAAAATAACCTCAGCCAACCACTTACAAAGAAAGTCTGGCACATTAACCAGGAGCTGTTGGCTTATGAATCACTATTCTAACTTAGAGGAAAAGGCATGTGAGAGGTGTGACCAGGGGTGATGATTTGCCTCTACTTCCCGTGCCCTGAGGGCTCTGCTTTGGAGAAGAATGCAGGGGATTTGGTGGCAGTGGGCTGAGCCTCATCAAAGCCTCCAGGAATCCTTGTGGGGTGGCCTCTTGCACACACAAGAGAGGCCAGCTCTCCAAAACTGCATCTTGACCCACAGCACCCTCTGCCTTAGTACCACACACCCAGACCCACAGAGAACACTGCCTACCATCATACACAACAATGTTCCTTTAGTTAATATACTGTCCCCAAACAAAGTAAGTTATAATACAGTAATAAATACTTGATTGGTAAGTTCTCATCTCAGGTTCAATTCCACTAAAAGAAGATAATGAAGATACTATAATTGCTTAAATTAAGTTCACATTTGAGAGGTGACACTATTTCACTTAAATAATGACATTTTTACAATTGGCATTTTTAAATAGGGGTTAATTCAGTGCAATGGTCTGGATGTTTGTCTCCCCCAAAATTCACATTTTGATATCCTAATCCCATGGTGATGGGACATAGGCCCTCGGGAAGTGATTGAGTCGGGAGGGCGAATCCTCATGATAGGATTAGCTCCCTCGACCCGCCACCATCTATTAACCAGGAGACAGGCCTCACCAGACACCAACTCTGCCAGCACCTCCACCTGGACTTCCCCATCTCTGCAACTGTAATACACTGTTCATAAGCCACCAGCCCACGGTATTTTGTTATAGCAGCCTGAATGGACTAAGACGGTAGGTCTACTCTTACAGATGTGCATCTGCAGGATCTCATTAAAATGACGACCACAAATGCAGGCTAACAGGTGTGTGTGTAACTATCAATTCAAGAGTGGCACTGTTGGGGCGGTGGGGGGTGAGGGGGCTTTTCTGAAACTGTGCATGATTCTTTACAAGGTTTTGAATATGGCAAAGATAAAATCCTCGGTGATTGATATATTGCTGCATTCCTAGAAAATTCAGTATGTCGAAGTCATGTCAAAAAATTCTTTCTGGTTACAGGTAAAACAGAATAAGGGTCTAAGCTTAGAAACAGGCTATTAGAGACACAGACAGGCTCCCCGTGCCCAGATGTCGGCAGGACCCTGAAGGATGTGTGGGCAGGGGCAGCTTTTCACTGTACTGGGCTCTTGGTACCATGTGCAAAGTTTAGGACAATTCAAAATGCCCAGATTTCACCCTGAAAAACCAGAATGCCCTCCCTTCACTGTGACAACCGAGCATCCTCCAGCCTACTTGCCACATATCTCCAAACTGTCCCCAGGGACACAGTGCAGACCTGGGTGGAGGGAAAGGCTGGCGTGAGCTGATCTGTCGCCTTCACAACCCCAACAACTTTACTCCCCATCACTGGGGTTCTGCTGAGCCAAGTCCAAGGCTCGGGAAGCCCCAGAGTCCTCTCCCAATTCCAGGAAAAGAAAAGAAGCCCCATGTCAAGCAGAGGGACAGCTGATCAAGAATTTTAAGATGTTAAATCCACACATACATACACATTTAAAAAGCATAAAACGTATCTTCAAATTTACCCAAAATGCCAAAGTGAACTGACTTCCTAATGCGAGCTCCTGATCCCTATTTCTTTTCCTGAAAACCTTCTTCCACTGTTGACTACAAACAGGCACGTGGACCCCCAGCTCCTGCTCCTTCTGGAGGAAGCAGTTCCATGGGGCCAGAAGTGGAGCCTCCTGCCCCACCCCAGGCTGCGCTCACATCCTGTCTGTCTGTATGAACAGCCCCCAAGCTCCAGAGGTATAAGGTAAGTTTGATCCTTCTCTCAGGGACAGCCCTGTAGGGATCCATGGGGGGGCGTGGTGCCGAGGCTGGAGCCCAGGTCCTCACAGGGAAGCACTCTACCATTCTACCACTGAGCCACATTCCCAGCCCAAGAATATTTTTTTTAACTACAAAAATTCTTCTATTTGAATCAAAGAGCATTCTGCTATCATGTATAACTGATCAAAATAAATTAATTAATTTTTAAAAAATTCTCCTATTTCTTTTACTAGAGATTATCTCAAATCTCATACAAAAGGCATGTTTAGAAAACAACGCTGTGACTGGGTACAGTGGCACACGCCTGTAATCCCCGTGGCTCGGAAGGCTGAGACAGGAGGATCCAGAGTTCAAAGCCAGCCTCAGTGAAAGTGAGACACTAAGCAACTCAATGAGATCCTGTCTCCAAATAAAATACAAAATAGGGCTGGGGTTGTGGCTCAGTGGTCCAGTGTCCCTGAGTTGAGTCCCTGGCACCCTCCCCGCCACAAGAAGAGAAAACAATGCTGTGGATCCACGAGAATCTCATAAGGCTTTGTCAGCATCAGTACAGAGGAGCGTGACTGAGCAACACACCAGGCGATACAATTCAAACTTTTATTTGACGTTGAGTTCAAAGTCACTAACACGTAAAATCGACATTCAGAATAAATAGCAAATTCACATTGAGAATAGTTACCTAATTTGCATTTCTTATGCCTGTTACTGTATAGGCACAGTTTGTCATTCCATTAAACAATTAGAAAAGGCTCCTAAGTTGGAGTTGAAGCTTTGTACTACTAAGTACAGGAGCACTGTCCCAGGTGGGTGCCCTGGAGGTGGGCGCTGCATGCAGGATCTGTGGGAAGGGGTGGAGGGGTTGCCGTTGACCTCGATGCAGGCTTGGCTGACCCCACTGAGAGGGGTGGAGCTGGGGAGATCTACAGGGTTGTCCCGGGTTGGGGAGGCCAGGCCTCCGTGCCTCCATGTGCAGCAGTCCAGAGGCCCCCAGGAAGGGGCCGTGATCTGGGGTGAGGCAAGGGAAATTCCTAGAGGTCTGACAGCTGTGAACAGGCAGCCAACAGCTCACCCTGTCATTGGAGAACTAAGTCCTTCAGTCAGAAAGGTCACCTGGGCAGCACAGCCCAGCACCCAAGAAGCACAATAACAAACGAGAGGTATCTCAGGTACCCGCCACAGAGCAATCTTGATATGTGCTAGAAACATCGCGTCTGACCACCAACCAGCCAGGAAACAGGCCCAGAAAGCAGCTCAGAAGGGAACTTGGCACCCCTACCTACCCAGAGAACGTCTTTCCAGACCTGCATCCAAAATTAGGTTATTCATCTGCACCTCTCAAGAGGGGAGTGTCACCCTTGAAACCAACACAATCCATTAGTGGGGGATGGCAAACCACAGCCCAGGGCCAAATCCAGCCCACAGCCTGTTTTGGTAGAGCCCCCATGCCCATGCCATTCCCACGAAATGCCCATGCCATGCCCATGTCTACAGGAGCAAAGCTGTACCTGTCTGGCCCTTTAAGGGAAAAGTTCTCTGACCCTTATTAGAGGAACTTCATTTCCCTCCCCTCCCCTCCCCTCCCCTCCCCCACTTCCCTTCCCTTAAACCAACAGTGGTGTCAAAGGTTAGTTCAACTTTGAATCCAGCTCCCAAATACTAAAGGAAAAAAAGTGTGGTACAAAAGGAAATCAATATTATTAAGAGGGAAAACAGGCAGATGAATAATCAGACAACCCTGCATCTGTCCAAATTTAGTCTTAAGAGTATTCTAGATATGGGGTCCCGTCTGGGCCTCTGGCAGCCAATGAGCATTGGGCTAAATAGAATTCAATGCCGCTTAAAAATCCTATTGAGAGGAGGACAGAGGAAAAGCCAAATTAGTAGGAGGCAAGATTGATTCTCACTTCTCCTTTGCAATAATCAAGAGGGCTGATGTACTGCTCAAAGCAACCAGTGATTCCGCCGAAGAGGCCAGAATCCACAGCAGGTGGCACACGATACGTGGAACTAATGGTGAGAGCAGAAAAGGGGCTCAAGAGTCAAATATGACAGGAGGAAGGGGGAAGAGAGAAGGAAGGCGTGGGGGGAGAGGGACAGGGAGGGGTGTTAGGAGAAAGTGGGAGCTGTAAGCCAAATACCTAAAATATTTTTAAAGCCAGGTCTCCTCTATAAAAGCGACTCTGGAGAAAACCCTCAGTGCTGTGCCTTCCCCAAGCACCTGCTATGGGTGCCACGAGCCTTGCCGGACTGTCACAGCTGGTGTGGACGCCCCTGGACTGTGAATTTTTGTTCTCATAATTCTTAGAAAATCAATCTAAGCAAGGTTAACAACAGTTTAAATGTTCAAACTAATTTTACGGTTTGCTTTACAAATTGATTCTCTTAAGTGGCGGAGAACAGTCACTTCTGATGCCCGCGCGCTTCCATCAGCGCACACACCACAGAACAAACGGGGAAGAACAAGCCGCACGGTGCAGCGGGCCAGGTCCCAGCTGAGTCGTGACGGTGACAGGCTGAAGCCTGCCCTGACTGAGCTGGAGGAGGAACAAGCGGGGAAATGCCCGGGCCCTGCTCTGGAGGCGCTCCCCAGAGCTGTGCTGCTGAGTCTGCCAGGCCCTCGTTTGGTGGCCCTGGTACAAGGGATGCCAGGCCTCTGCTACCTGGCAGATCTCTGGGCTGCCAGGCTCATGGCCCTGAAATGAAAACCCACCTCCCTGGGAATAATCTGTAAAATTCATTATTCATTCCCAGAAAATGTCCCCTGCCCCAAGGCTTAGGTCACCTAGCCCAGATATTCAAGAGAGCAGATTTTTTTAAAAAGGTCTACTTCACTCTTGAGTAAACAAAACACCCTGTTACCTGGCACCTCATCCGTATGCCACGGATGCTTCTCAGCCACCCCTGTGTCCTCTTCTGCTTCTCCAAAGCAGAAATCAAAAGCCAAGAGAAAGCACCAGCCCATCCTTTTGGGACCCCCAACTGAGCAGTTCTGAACATCACTTGCTGCCTTAAAAGCCAGACTCCAAAACACTGGTGGTGAAACACCTGGGTGACACCAACAACAATACGCCCACTGTCCCAAGACAGGGTCAGACTACTGTGCCCTATGGTGTTCATCCTACAGCACAGAAGGAATAGAAGCCTACCTGGGTCTAAAGCGTCACCTCCACCAGGACAGTTAAACAACCAAATACCAAAGTCAAACCGCATCACAATGAGCAGAGCCACAGGGTGCCACGTAACTCACTGGACTCCTGCATGTTGGCGGAAGCCCGTGCAATGCCAGGCGGGTGTTCAACACGTGCTAAATGAGCAAGTGCTCTCCACAGGCCCCCCAGGTTCCTGCCCATTCTCCAGATTTAAAGAGCAAGAGCCCAAGATGAGTCCCAGCAAGACTAGACAAGACCACCGGCCGGAAGCACACAGGCCACATCAGCAATGAAAACAGCACAGCCCTGAGGTGCTCAGAGAAAGATGCTACGAATACAGATTAATAACACGTTCTTCCCTCCAGAGGGGGAAGTAAGGAGAAGAACATGGCCATTTGCTTCCGTCTTAGAAATGAGAACAGCTCAGGACCCAGGTCTTCCTACTAACTTCGATGTCTCTCATCTTGTCCCACCTGAACCACCAAAAGGAAACCACCTGAACTCCCGGAGCCACTCAAATGGGGCAGGAACCAGAACTAAGCAAGGGCTGGAGGTGGCTGGGGGATGCCCCTTCCTCCTCCTTTGCCAAAGCGGCACCTCTCCCATGTGGTTGCTGTCGAGAGAGGAAGCCACCTTGTCTGTCCCCCCGCAGAGCAGGACAGTTTCTGGAAACACGCTCTAACAAGATTCCGGTTTAGCCTGGGGGTGCTGTGGTGTAGGACTTCAGTACAAGGGTCTTGTCTTGTTTCCATTTCGTTCCTTCGGTAAGTGCGAGAGACCAGTGCTTGGGCGCCGTTTCTGGGCTTCCTGTGGGTCTGGGGAACCTCCCACAAAGGCTGGGGTTCTTCTGCCCCACGGATGTCTCACAGCCTCGTTGGACAGTAGGCAGAGGTGCGGCCAACTGGAAGGTGACCGTAGCCAGAGCAGTGCCCTCGCCCTCATTCCCATCTCCTGTTGTACCAGATGTCCTGGCCTGGCCTGGGCTGGGTCACAGCAGCACACAATGAGGACAGCGTTCTTGTTCCTTCTCATCTAAGTCCTTCCAGGAGGCTGGGTTCTCTTGGACGCCGTACACCACAGGAAGGCCCGCCAGAGCCTCAGGACCAGAGACCGGGGCATCCTGCCATTCAGGGACCTTCTGCCACTCACAGCGGCACTGCCAGGAGCAGCTACTGAAGTGTCTGCCTGCTGCCGACGGGGCATCTCCATGCATCCTCAGGCCTGCAGCCCCCAAGGTGAACGGTGCAAGAGCCAGAGCAGCGTCTAAAGGACCTGCTGGCACAAGCGGTCTCACCTAACCCAGGTCAGTTCCAGGTCCTGGAGAACAAGGCGGAGTGGGACTTCCAGTACCAAGCTGCACCCGGGCCCCAAGAGGAGGGAGGCGCACCAGTGGGCGGCAGGCTCCTCTCAGCCTGGGGAGTCCTGTCCTTAAGGTGCAAAACGCATCAAAAGCCTACCGTGTCTCTTCAGAAAGCCACTGGGCCCACCCAGAGTCCACCCCATCCAGTGGACACGGGCTGCTTCTGGCCCTTTCCCCAGGGGGCCAGGGTTACTTGGCCTGTGCCTCCTGCAGGAGGGGCGCCCTGGAGGTGGTGGCCCTGTCGGACCACGCGGGCAGCTCGTGCTGCAGGGGAGTCCTCCTGGGGTAGAAGGTGTGGCTGACGTCGTAGTTCAAGAGGCAGCTCAGAGACGCCATGTAGATGTCCGCGAACCGCGACAGGCGCCTCAGGAAGTAGGTGGGGTTCTGGTCTGTGCGGAACAGGCTTCCGAACTGGGCGTTGAAGAAGCTCTTGGTCATCTCCCTAAAGCAAAAATAAACAAATAAATAAAAACGGAAACAGAGCAGCAGAGAAAGGTTTTTAAAGGTTTTTCAATTACTAAAATCAAAATCTCTTAATAAAAAAAAAAATGACAGGACTTGAAGTTAGAACAATCCTGACTTCCATTCAAGAAAACCATCCATCCATCCGACACCTCTGAGATGACTGATAACACTTCCCAATTACTGCAGCCTAAGAACCCCACTGTTGACCCTGAGACACAGCTTTAACCTCAGGGCCTCCTCCCAGCCCAGCCTAGCCCACAGCGGTTTGCACGGTCAAGGTCACAGCTCCACACAAGGCCCCAAATTCCTACAATGGACCCTCTGCCCCTCCGTGCATTTGTGTCTAAATCAACATCCCACACACAAGGACATGCATACCATCTTGTGGCTGGGAACCTTACAGAATATTCCAGAAAAATGGAATGTTGATAAATTAGTTAAATACAGCAAACAGTATAACTGTTTACACAACTGTGTGACTAAAGCCAGCAGTGGTGTCACCTGCCTGCCATCACTTGGCGACGACAGATGCAATAACCACCAAACAGCAGAACGTTAAAAGAACCCACCTGGGTCTCTGTGGGAGGAACAACCTAGATGGTTTTCCAACGTTTACTGAAGAATCTCGTTGAAATGTGAAGATATTAAATACTCAAAGTCAATGGTCCCTTTGTCTAGTAATCTGAGGTTCCTAGAAGTGAATGCCCCACGGAATGTGACCCAGGCCTGGCCTTCAAGTCACTCTGCTCCAAGCCTGCTCAAGTCACTCTGCCCCACATCTTCCTCTCAGGACACTTTATGATACAGGAAATCGTGTCAGAGCAAGCCCTAGCCAGCCAACAGCCTGCGGGAGGAGGAGGGACAGCGTGCACTACCACCCTGGCTCCCGCAGAGCCTGAGGCATGGACACTGTCCCCTCTCCACACCTTTCCCACTGCGCTCACGGACCCCCCCTGGAGCCAGGCTGCCCGCTGCTCAGAGGCTAGAATCCAGCAGCAGCCACTTTCCCAGACCTTAGACTGGACCCAGGGCCTGAGGAGGGCCAGGCTCTTCAGCGTTCCTGCCAAAAGCATCCACATACAAAGCACCCTTCGCAAGGAGCACGACTGTCAACAGGCCCCTCTGCAAACTGTCCACTAGGACACACACCTGCCAAACTTTTCTGACAGCAGAGGGGCTTCTAGAAACATTCTGATGACTGACTATGTGCATATTCCTGCAAGAGCCATAGGTACGAACGCACACCCAGGTGTAGGAGTCCTAAGATCTCACCGGGGCTCAGAGCCCTCCCCCATCACAGCCCCAACAGCCACACATGCTACCGGCTTTGGCAACACAGGGCCACCAGCACCCAGATGGAACAGTCAAGGAGGCGGGGAGGAGGAAGGAGAAGGAAGAGTCCCCTTCTCCCATGGCCCTGCAAGGGCAGGGGAAAAATGGAGGTCGCCGCTGGCCTATAAGAAATGCCACTGTCACCAACAGCAGACAGCTGATCCTGGAGACCTGGGAAGCCACATCTACACCTGGGAGCACACCACGGATGGTTCACGATCATGCCTCGGATGGCCTTGGGAGAACACGTGGGCTGAGCACACGCAGAACAGGTCACCGTCTTCAAAATAAGCCACTCTCACCTCATCTCCTTCCTCTCCTTTTTCCACTCCTCCAAGACCAGCTGCGACTCAGCATCTCTGTGAACCTGCACGACACAAGCCAGTTACTATGATAGTTTGGGTTTCAAACAAACTCATCAGAATTTTTTGATGGGCAGCTCTTGGAAGAATTATATGTCTTTAAGAGGCAGGTACTTGGGCTGGGGTTGTGGCTCAAGAGCTAGAGCACTTGCCTAGCATGCGTGAAACACTGGCTTTGATCCTCAGCACCACATAAAAATAAAGATATGGTGTCCACCTAAAACTAAAAAATAAATATTTTTTTAAATTAAAAAAAAAGAGAGAGAGGCAGGTACTTCAGTGAAGTAATACATTTTCAGATTCTCCAACTGAAACCCTGCCTTCTTCACTTACAAAATTAACACAGTAGCGCGCGCACGCGCACACACACACACACAGAGAGAGCACAGAGAGCTTTAAATATCCATCATTAGAAACCTGATTTAGCAAATTAAGAGGGGAATATTATGAAGATATTCCACTGTAATTAAAGGCTTGTATAAAAATAATGCATGTATGTCCATGTAAAAATATATGTGTAAACCCACATGTGCGATATACCCATTACATCTATTTATTATGTATATTAACATAGACTTCCCATGTACTAGCTACTTCATACATTACATGCATGTATATCAATATCACAGCAGTTAAGTTGAAACAGTGTGCATAATGGTACATCCACTAATTGTAAGCATGTGAAAATATGTGCTAGAAATTAACATAGAATTTTTAAAAAATTTGTGCAAGGGTAGGAGGACCATAAATGGTTCTGTTTTTTTTCTTTAATGTTACATCGCCTTATTAGATGTTTAACATCTGAAGAGGCAAAGGGCAACAAGATGACACATCTCAACGTGAGTGACGGAAGAGCAGGAGACTTTCTGGTAGGCCAAAATGTGAGTCAAAGACAAAAAGAAAATGACAGCTGCCCACAACCTCCCAGTGGAATCTCACAAGTCTCCCTCCAACGTTCTTGTGACTGAAGGGAACAGGGAGGACGGAGCTGGAGGCACATATGATCGCAGGGGACAGGTGGAGCTCACTGGGATCCCTGACCGCAGGGTAACCTCAGAGCTCAGAGGGAAAGGCCAAATGGGCAGACCATCTGCTTCTCAGGTGGGAGCCTGTGCTTGTCACATCTGCCTGGCCCACCAGGGTGACACCCGCAGCCGCCAGGCAGAGTCCGCACTCACACAAAGCTGTCTCGACTGGGCTTGGAATCTGGGCTTCTTGCTAATGTCAGGGGCTACCCGACTGGAAGCAGCTTCCATTTGAAAACCCACTGGCTGTGGGGCTGGGGCTGGGGCTCAGCGGTAGAGCACTTGCCTGCAGGCGTGAGGCACTGGGTTCGATCCTGAGCACCACATATAACTAAATGAATAAAATAAAGGTCCACCGATATCTAAAAAAAATAAAAGAAAGGAAACCCACCGGCTGGGTTCCAGGAGCACAGGCCGCTGGCCTCTCCTTGCTGGGAGTTCTGAAGCAGGTTCTGTGAGGACATTTTGAATTAGCTTTCACATTTGATATCAACAAGCTACTTACTCCAGAACCGAGCTCCAGGACATACAGGATTCAGACCAAATCCGAAGAAGTAAAATCTGCAGGCGCCACAGGGACCTTCACTGTATGAACGCGAGTTCCTTTTGCACCTCTGCCCGGCGGGGGAGGCCGAAGACACAAGAGGACGGGAATGGAGGCCCCCCTGGGGCAGACCAGGCCAACACAACGTGAGGCCACCTCTCCTCTGCCCACACCCACCTCCTGCCCTGTGAACTGGGCGCCCACTGCTCACACAAGCGGGAAGGAGCTCCCAGGCCCGCCCTCGGCGCATCATGGCCCGGGGTGCTGATGGCCCTCTGAGATTCCTAAGCAGAAATCCCAGCCTCCAGCGTGAGGGTATGGGGAGGTGACAAAATGATGAGGGTTGAGCCTCGAATGCGAAGAGTACCCTTATAAAAACGACCCCAAGAGAGCTCTCGGGCCACCTTCCAGCCATGCACGGCACCATGCAACGCTGGGCCCACCCAGACAAGAGCTCTGCTGGCTCCTGGACCTCAGATCCCAGTCTCCAGGACGGTGGGACATAAATGCTTCTGCTTTAAGCCACCAGTCTATGGTACAGTCACCATGGACTAAGAGAGTGGCGCCCCTGCAGGAGGGCACATTCACTGCCTGGTGACAGGGAGGAGGATGACCTAAGTCAATCTACTTGCTCTCCCTTCTCAAGCTAGCTGCTAGAGGCCGGGGGAGTTCTCTCCACTCCTGACCCTCGGGGAAACCCGCCCGAGGCGGCTCTGCCAACAGAAGAGCCAACGCAGATCTCCCAAGCTCAAGGCACGCTCTCTAACCTGGCTTCCCAGCCATGGAGCGGGTGGTGCACCCCACTCAGACTCCCACCCCTGGGTCTCTATGGTCCTGAATCTGGAGGGTGGCCAAGGATGAGGATGGAGCCTCTCCAACTTCTGCCCCAAGGCTGCCGAAGGGAAACGCAACGGAGGAAGGATCCGGAAAGCTGAGGCCAGGGCAGCAACACCACAGCAGGGACACTGGCTCTGAGGTCTGTGCTCACTCAGGAGCCTACAAATAGGCTTGGAGGGGGACAGATGGGGGGGGGGCAAAAGGAGAATAATTTCATGACACGTGAAAGTAAATGAACTCATATTTCAGTGTCCACCGGAGTTCAGCAGGACAAGCCACAACCGCTCACTCACACACGGTCCATGGCTGCTTCTGTTAGGAAAGCTGAGCAGCCGTGACAGAATCCAAGCCCACACAGCCCTAAACATCTACCATCAGGCCCTCCGCAGAAGTTTGCTAGCCCCAGCCAGCCCCCCCACTGGCCAGCCCCACCACCACTAACTGTGGCCACTGTGGAGCGCACTTCAAGGCTAGCTAGCAACATGATTCTTTAAAGTCACTGTTTAGAAAGCAAAAAATCATATGCTTCTATTTAATTTATCAGACTCGGCTCCAAATGATACTGTTACCCCTGCCCCAAATCAAACCCAGTCTCGAAGGAAAATTTTCTCTCTTCATAAATAATTGAGAGTTCTAGAAATGTGCCACAGGATCAGTGGAAAAATGACTACCTTTCCAGGTGAACCCTGAGGGAGCGGGGGCAGTGGGGGGACAGGGAGGACAGTTAGGATGGACACTCTCTGGGATATTTAAAATTATCAGCCATACTCCTCTAACCTGGTGCCGCTGACCCAACATCATATAAAGCGTCAGAGCCCGAGGTGGCGCAGTGCGGAGGCAGAGACCAGGGCACCCAAGCCCAGGCCAGTGCCACCCCAGGCCTGAGCAAGGTGTTTTTCCTCTGTGCTCAGATTCTTCATCTATAAAACGCAAGTGACGCTCTCGGTGCTCTGGAAGTCACGAGGGTGAAATGAACACAAGGCCCAAGTGCCCAGCGCAGAGAAGACCTGCTACATTCAGCAGGGCCCGGTGCCCACCACTGACTCTGTGATGCCGGAAGTCACTCATCTCTCGGCCTCGGCCTTCTCTCCCGTGAAACAGAGTGCACCGTAAAGGCTCATTCCCTTTTCCTACTCCCCGACCTATGCCTTGTATAACTGATCCTCCAAGTCCCAGAAATATCTCCAACACCTCCTTTCTCTGAGTCACACTCTTTTTTTTTTTTTGAGAGAGAGAATTTTTTTAATATTTATTTTTAGTTTTCGGTGGACACAACATCTTTTTTATTTTTTATTTTTTTATGTGGTGCTGAGGATCAAACCCAGTGCCTCGCACACGCTTGAGCCACATCCCCAGCCCCTGAGTTACACTCTTAACTGTCAAACTTGTTTTTACAGGTCAGAGAGGAAAACAAAACAAAGACTGTTCCCAAAGCAGTGAAGTCATCCACACACAGGTTGTTTGCATATCTGATGAGCAGCTGCTGTCACTGGATTCCAACTAAGGCGAGGTCACACACACACAAACACCCCTGCACTCAGCCCTCAGGGGATGCCTGAACTGGGGTAACACCAAGTCCAGAGTCTGCTGTTTTTCCTCTGTGTACATACCTATGACAAAGTCTATCTTATAAAATTAGGCAAAGTAAGAGATTAATAATAGTAATTAATAACAGAACAATAACAACAAGGTAATAAAAGTTATTTTAAAATTTGTGAATTATTTCTGGAATTTTCCATTTAATATTTTCAGAACCAAGTTGACTACAGTTAAACTAAGACCCACAGAAAGATAAACTGCAAATAAGACAAGGTAAAGCCTCTGGCTCCACCTGAGACCCCTGAACCAGCAGGCACTAGGATGGTGCTCAAGGGCCCGGATATGGGCATCCCAAGGTCTGGGTTCAAGGCTTGCTCTGTCATTTAGGACCTTGGACATGTCACTAACCTCTTGAAACCCAGGTTTCCTATTCTGAAATGGAAAATCTGCACCTACCTGCACGGGACAACTTTATTAAGTGAGCATCGTGTATACAGCAAGCACTCAAGGTGTGGCTGGCACACAGGAAAGAACAGCTGCTGTTGTGTGACATGCAAACTCTCGGCTACATTAGCCCAGAATCGACTCCTTATGTGTTTAGAAAATCATCTCACAGGCAAGCACAGTAGAAGTAGCAAAATAAAGCCTCACCAGAGAAGAGCCAAGGACCAGGACAGACAGGGAACACCGGAAACCAGCCTGGCGGACGTGCAGGGGCTCACGCTTTGGAACAAGTGGCCTGCGAGAGGACCTGGCCTGCCTCTCCCCACGGCTCTGCCTGAGCTCAGCGCCCAGCCACCTCAACACGGGCTGCCAATTAGGGCAGCGAGGCAGTTCTTCGCCCATTTCCAAAGCCACCGATGGGCTAAACAGGCTGTGCCAGAGCTGAAGTGTCAGCCAAGACATCAGGCATCTGTGCCCGTAATCTCCAAGAGTCAGCTCGGTGCACAGGGCAAGCTCTCAGCACAGTGGCTGGCATGCAGATTAACCATCAGTACTCTGTGACACATGCACAGAGTCCTGGCTACCTCCACCCTGCCAGGAGGACAGCAGCCCAGGCCAGCCGGACCAGGGAGAAAGTGAGGTGCCTGGTGAGTGCAGGAGGGGGACTGGGGGTCACAGTTGCAACAGAGGAGCAGCTCCCACAGGCCAGGATGTGACCAATAAAAAGGACATTCCTCTCTAACTGTCCCAAACTGGACCACATAATTTACAGAAAGAAGTTAACTGCCACCAAACTCCAGAAGGCCAGAAACCACGGGTATTTTCTTCAAAATCAGATTGAGGCTGGACCCAGAGATCCTGACTCTGGCTTTGTGACACTTTCCAGCAAGCTTAGACTGAAGTGCACATTCCACAGGACCTTACAGACAGGGAAACCGAGGCCCAGGATAGAGAAGTCCCACAGCAGGCTGACGGATGAGGAAAGACTGAAACGCAGCACTAGCAGAGCTGCTCAAATCAGCACCCCACAGGACAGCCCTGGTGTGACTCAGGGTGAAAGTAAGGGCCCCATTTCCACTGACAGAGGATCATAAATACCTGCATTTGTGCAGGCTCTGCAAACACTCTCCAAATGACTGCACATTTTTTTTTAATGGTCTCTTTAGGGAAAATGACAAATTGCCTCAGCAGCAAAATAACCCCAGATGTTATTCTACGGCCTACTGAGGACAGCTTAAACCTCATACTTTATAACCACAATTAAACTGAAAATATGTGAAATAACTCGGACCAGCAGACAAGCCAGAAGCTTAAAGGAAAAAGTGAGGTGGTGGGGGAGGGACATCCCAACCTGCATCTGCTCCAACAAGCCAGTCAAGGTCTGCAGCCAGGTCATGGTCTGAATGTACTGCTCCGTGTTCATGATTTTGAGCTCCGACCTTAACTCGGGGATGATTGCACCAGTCCGCCAGCCATGCTTCAGGGTCAAATCCTAATCACAGCGATCACAGAAAGGCAACATCAGTCTCAACAGAACCCAAACATTTCATTACCTTTGCCAGACACAAGAAGCATTCATTTAAATTACTTTTTAATTCCAATGGTTAGTTTTTAACCAAGTTGCATTCAATGAATTACACTTAATTAAACCAATTTGGCCCCAAGCTTTGACGATTCCACCCTAAGAAAGTTTCTGTTCTGGAAATAATTGCTGTGAATCACAGCGCCTGCAGAAACACAGGGAGTGGAATCATTAACCAGGGTCTGGCGGGAGAGGGTGGGGGGAACCCATGTGGCCAGGGAGAGGTTCAACCTGAAGGCCAAAACATCCAGACATAGCAACAGTGGAGGTGGCAGGAGCCACGACCCTCACGTTACCCACTTGCCTTTGAGCTCTGGGAATCATGCAAGGAGAGACCTGCCATCACTCAACAAAGAAACCTCGTTCCACAAGGAACCAAGGATGGTAGCCAATACAACAACCCAGACTTGTTCTCAGTGTAGGCTAAATCCTAACTCCCATCACACCCAGGGTCAAGAAAAGCCTCGGTGGCACAGGGTGGCTGTTTCCTGGGAGTGACCGGCTGGCCAGAGCTGGACTGAGGCTTTCGAGCTTTTATGCTCCATCTTTAATGTTTCATGATGTACTGATAAAAAAGAAAAGTTAACAAGGGCATTCATTTCTTATCATTATTTAAATGGAAATTTTTTTTATCAACTCTTTGCATACATTTTCAATTGCCCTCATAAGAATTTATCCTTTGCACAATTCGGAACCATCCTGTTCTGTAAAAGGCAGACATTTAAAAAATGTGGCCTACTCCAGGTTCTTAGGAAAGGATTAAAATGACCTTCTAAACAAAAAAGAAATGGGACTAATACACCTGTCCCCCAACAAATTGAGGAGAAAAGGTGCTGCTCACCGCCAGGTCACTGTATATGTGGTCCCCGAAATACAGCACTCTGGAGCCTCTCCACCCAGTGAGCTTCAAAAATTCATACAAATTGCCCTGCAATAAGAGGAAAACAGACAGTATATCATATGACAGAGATGGTCCCAAATATTTTTTAAATATCTAAAAAATTGGTTTTTCTTTTATAGTTTATTTGAAATACCAAAAAAATAAAAGCACCTTCAGAGAAAATATATTTTGGACTTCTATACTAAATGCATTTTTCGAGTCTTCATATTGTAAACATCACTTTACAACTATCTTTCTTTTTCTTTCTCAGTACTGGAGATCAAACCCAGGGCCTCACATATGTGAGGCAACCACTCTACACATAAGTCATATCCTCAGCCCTGTAACTATCTTTTATATTTAACATGCTATGATCAACTTTCCAACTCAAAAAATATTTTTAAAAATATTTTTTTAGTTGTAGAGGTACATGATATCTTTATTTTATTTATTTATTTTTACGTGGTACTGAGGATTGAACCCAGTGTCTCATGCATGCTAGGTAAGCGCTCTATCACTGAGCTACAACTCCAGCCCCAAATCAATAAATATTAATCTCAATGTGATTACAATAGCTGTGAAACACCTTGATTCCTTTTACCAGTGCCCTAATGTTGAACGCTTACACCATTATCAATTTTGTAAGTTACTTCATAATAAACATTCTTATAGCAAGGCTTCATGGTGTAAGTCTTAATTTTCTTAGGCTAACTCCCTAGACGTGAGATGGCTACACTTGGACTGGAGATGTGGCTCAAGCAGTAGTGCGCTCGCCTGGCATGTGTGCGGCCCGGGTTCGATCCTCAGCACCACATACAAAGATGTTGTGTCTGCCGAAAACTAAAAAATAAATATTAAAAATCCTCTCTCTCTCTCTCTTTAAAAAAAAAAAAAAAAAAAAAGAAATGGCTAAATGGCTACACTAAATCTAATTTTTTCAAGGCCTGGAAAATATACTTATTGTCAAATCTGGAAGGTTGTTGCATACCCACCAAGAACGTATCAGTATGTAAGGAAAAAAAATAACTTCAATAACATAATAATATTGGGTCAGCCAGTCAATCATTCATTCAAACCCTTGAAAGCCTTATAAATACGTTGAGACTGTACAGAAAAACGTATCTCATCAGGAAATAATTATCAATTTGGGTTAGTAATACGCCATGATTAATGCTCCTTAACAAGAAATCTCTAAGATTTACCACTGGCATCTTAAATTTTATGTGCCGTGTAATGCTTTAAAGTTTGTTTTTAAAAACAATTCAACTTTGAGTTAATTTAGATACTAGCATTTTGAAAATACATTCAGCCTAAGTTTTACCACCGAGTTAATAAGCAGTCAATTCAAGGGATCGAACTGTGCCGGGCACCCGGCAAGCCTCAGTAAACGTCAGCCATTGATTATCGTGACTGCTGGCCACAAAGCAAAGCAACACAGACGACAAACTGATCAAGAGATACCTGCTTGTAAATCTGGCCTTTCTGCAACTTGTGGATTTTATCCCAGAGTAAGACACCTTTCTCATTCACCTTTCGGAAAGGTCTAACAACAGAAATGGGAAACATTACATGTGATGACAGTTCAGGCCACCTGCTCCCGGAGATACTTCAGACACCTCCTGATGACAGGAAGCAGCTCCCTCGATGCACCTGACACATCCCTGAGCCCAAAACTCCACCACAATCCCTGCCTGTGCAACGTGCCCCAGGCCATGTGAACCACCATCCACCTAAGGTGATTCAGAAAGGAAAAAACAAAAAAAAAGGAAATCCAGGAAACACTACACACTGCCTATGTCCCTCTTAAAAAGTTACTGAGAGCTCTGAAACAAGTCCTGCTCTAAATATACTTTCTAAACATTTCCCAAATTTATTTGGTCATGCAGAAAACCTGTTTCACACACACACACACACACACAAAAAAAAAAAAAGTTTGTGGAAATATTGCCTTAGTACATTCATCCACTAAATTGAGTCACTCTGGATAGAAAACAAGTCGAAGGACCAGAAGTACTATTTCATGATGAAAAATGGACCACAGAGATAAGGCCTCATCCCTGAGACTGGCACCCTCAGGACGTGGGTGCCTGTCTAACTTTCTTTTTTTTTTTTTAAGTAACACTTATTGAGATTATTTTCCCAATTAAAAGAAAAACTCACTATAGAAAATGCAGAAAAGGGAAGTGACCCTAAGGCCAGTACCCAGGTAGAAACACTTCACATGTCAATATGTCAGTATGTCTTTCAGTTTTTACATAAAATCAGTTTCCTTTTTTTTTTTCTTTCTGTTAAAACTGGGGATCGAACCCAAGGCCTTATATATGTGGGCAAGCACTCTTCCCCTGAGCTACATCCCCAGCCCTTTTGAGAGAGGGTCTCTCAAAGTTGCTTCAAACCTGCAGTCCTCCTGCCTCAGCCTCCTGAGTAGCTGGGCTTACTGGTATGTACCACCATACCTGACTGTTTTCCCTGTTTTTATGAACATAAAATGAAGCTCAAGGTCACTTTGTGCACACTGATTTACATCTCTTTTTCTTTAATTTGTGAGCAATTTCTCACGTGATGACATATTCTTAAATACATCATTTTTTACAGTAATAAAACATGCCCACTTCTTTCTTTTCCCTGGTTATGTGTGTGTTTGTTTTGGGGACGGGGTCTCTCTATGTTGCCAAGGCTGGCCTTGTGCTTGTAATTCTCCTGCTTTGGCCTCCCCAACAGCTGGGACTACAGGTGCACACTACCAAGCCCCGTTCTAAATACAACAATTTTAACGAGTGCCTAACATCCCCTCACATGGTTGCTCTGAATTATTCAAACTACCATCCCCTACTGTTGGAAGTCTAGGTTACCAGTTTCTGACTTCTCAATGTTATGAAAGGATGGATACAGATGGAGGGTCACTTAGCATTTATTCCAGGCATTCAGAACAAAGGCAAAATAAATAAATGGTGCACCGAAGGGAGGGGAGTACTCTACGGACACCCCTCACCTCCAGGTATAGCCCAGGACCCCAGCCCTCCACTGAATGAATACCACAGAGGAGAGGAGGTTCCTGGCCAAGGGAGAGCCGCCTTCTCCTGACCACAGCAGGAATCTAGGGAGGAACGCAGGAGTGTTCTTGTTGTGTCTGTGGTGCTGGGGAGTGAACCCAGGGCCTCCTGCATGCCTGGCAAGCGCTCCACCACAGAGCTGCAGCTATGCCCCAGGCCCAGTGACAGCATTCTATCAGTGGCCAAGCAGCAAGCCCACGTTGATGTCCGTCTGATCACACTCTAGTTTTTCCTTCATTCTCAACTGCTGCCCCACGGTTTTCAGTCTCTACATGTGGTTTTGGGTTTTTTTCCCTCTTCCTCTGGGAGTCACAGTGACACTCAAAAAACTGGAACTTGGCATCACAAGAAGAATGCAGCGAATCCAGTACTAACTGCAAGTCCCCGCGTGAGGACACCTTCTAACACCTGGCAGATGCTGCTGGTCACCAGCCACGGACTACACAAAGGTAGGTAAAGTGTTTCAAAATTAGGCCATCACACAAACACATTAGGGTCATTTTTAGAACCCTAACGTAGGAATTCCCAACAACACGGACATTTAGCAGGGCAACTAGTCTGTTCCTGGTTAAAAGATATTTTAATACCCCTGACTTCCACCCACTACATAGCAACAGCACTCCCCAGTCACTGTCATAACCCAAAACATCCCCACTCCCCCATCTCTAAGGCTGCTGTGGCAGGAAGACACACTAAGACATGGTAGAGATTTACTCCACTTGATACAAAGCCTGGGTCGCAGAAGTTTTGCAAGATCCAACCACAATTTTAAATGCACCAACGGGAGCTCTATTTAAAGATACCTGCCCCATAGTTTTCTTACGCTTCACAACGCATCTGTACCCAAAGACCTAGTTTACTATGTGACATAAAGTTTGATTTTTCAGCACTGTTATCATTTTCTTAAAACTGGGTTCACAGCCCTGATGTAGCACAAGCCAAACAGGAACCATCTCAGCACAAAGCTGCCTGCTGAGTGCTAATCCCACCTCCCTAGATCACTTGCTGGAAGGGCTACAAGCTATCGCCTCAGATGCTCAGAATTTTGTCACTACACATCCATTTACAATAGCAATGGAATAAAATTGAGTCCCCAGGGAAAACGATCACTCACCTCCGCTTATCATTGAAGAAGTTTGGCTTCTCGGCCTGAACTATGACCACATCGAACAGATCCCTCCAGTCTTTCCCAACAATATACCTCATCCCTTTGTCCCTAGAAGAATAAGTCGGCCAGGTTAGTTGAACATCAAAGGATGAAATACTTTTGCAACTATTTCTTTCCAACTACTAAAATAAATGGCATCGGGCTAGGGCTGGGGCTCAGCGGTAGAGCACTTGCCTAGCACACATGAGGCACCAGGTTTGATCCTCGGCACCACATAAAAATAAAAGTTTTTGTATCCATCTATAACTAAAAAACAAATATTTTTTTAAAAAAGAGAAACAAAACCAGAAATGGTATATATACGAAGTGAGCCAGAAGCAAGGGAGGAAACAGAAAAACTTACACGAAGCTACTGGGACTGTTGGTGATGAGAAACATCTTCTTGCCATGATCAGCCAGTTTGGCCAATACTGCACGGGTCTGCTCAGCATAGCAAATGTACTTTTCTAAGAGCAAGAGAAAAATTCACACTCAGAGTCAGCATGAAATCAGCCTGTCTGCAAACACTTACTAAATGGGGCACCTGGGCCCAGGACTGCCCCAGCCACGGTGGGGAAGAAAAGTCTTAAGGAAGCTTGGTTCAGGGTGGGGTACGAATGCCCAGTGCATCAGTCACAAAGACCCTGCCTCCTACATCTGCAGCTGCCAGCTGCTCCACTTTTGAGTCAGAATGAGGTCAAGCTGGGGGTCAGAGTCCTTATTTGGCACTCAGAAAGGTACATGCAGCCCCTGCTCAGGCCCTGGCATGCAAAGTAAAATGCCTACCCAGTAACACAACACACGGGCCCTGCCAAGTACATACCAATGTCTGCTTCGATTGCTCTGTACATTATCCCTTTGATGTGAACATCCCGAATTGAATCCTGTCCAAAGACACATTTTGAATCAGTGAAAGTGGGACTGGGCCAGCCAGGGTGACAGTCCAAGTGTAACAGCACTGGTGTTGACTTCTGCCTTTATAAGACCGGCAATCCAGGCCCTAAACCAAATCCAAACCTAGTGCATTTATGTCTGGTGGTTCCTTGGGAAGAAAAGGAAGCTTCTGAGATGACAGAAGCGATTTCCAATGCAGTTTTCAAAAGGTTTGCCTGGAAGAGGCAGTCTGTGCAATTCAAAATAAAGTCTCAAAACTTTAAATTAGTCATAAACACAGAATTAAAATATTTTCGTGAGTAAGTATGTGTCTTTTAAAAACAAATATTTTAGGCCCAGTGTGGTGGCGTACATCCCAGCTACTTCGAAGGCTGAGGAGGGAGGATCACTAGGAGTTTCAGATCAGCTGGACAACACAGTGAGACCCCACCTCAAAATTAAGTAATTAGTAAAACATCTGCTACATGCATATGCATAAGTTTACATTATAAATGTATATCAAATAAAGATTTTAAGTATTGATAAAGTTCACATGGCTCAGTGAATGTGTGTAAATGTAATTATCAACATAAATTATAATACATAAATCTATAAATCACATGTACAGATGCATGTAAAGATTCCTATCTATGTCCCTATGTCCCCCTCTCCTGGATTCCTGCAGGGCTTTGGCAGGGCCTCAAACAGCCATATGGAACTTCAGTGGGCAAGAGGGAAAAAAAAAACCCTTTTATCCAATCTCTCACACCCCCCAGAACTGTGCATCTTTATGGGGTACAGTGTGCACCCCACAAAAATGTACAATTTTAAACTATCAATTTAAGAATGAAACTTTAGGGCTGGGGCTGTAGCTCAGTGGCAGAGCACTTGCCTAGCACTTATGAGGCACTGGGTTCGATCCTCAGCACCACATAAAAATACGCAAAATAAAGGCATGCTGTCCATCCACAACTACAGTCAATCAATCAATCGATCGATCAATCAATAAAAAGAATAAAACTTTAAAACACCCCCATCACTTCAGCAGCCCAGGCCCACAGTAGAGAATGTGAATAGCAGGTCTTTGGGCCCCAGGCCCAGAGGGAACAGGTCCAGGCTGCCCCTGTGGCTGGGTGCCCTGGCCTTTTGGTCAGAAAGGACCAGAAACCCAGACATCAACGTGAGGCCCTTCTTGCTTTAACAAAAACCTGGTCTCCACTTCCCCTGATGCAGCAGATCTTTATCAGTGTCTTGTAAACTATAAACAAAAGCAATCCCAGCAAAGAGACCGAGTCACACCCCCGACCCCCGACCTGGAAAGAGGGCCACCGCCTGCCGCCTCCTCAGGCTGAAAGCGCGGCTTCTCCACACACCTTGACGTCCTTGTACAGGTGCACGGGCTCGTAGTCGATGTTGTTCTTCAGAAAGTGCTCGTTCACACAGGACAGCAGGGTCATCTCTGGCAGGGAGAAGATGTCCATGAACTGCTTCATGGTGTTGCCGTGGGAGCTCTGCAGAGGGGGACGCGTTAGAAGAGGGGCCCACCTTGGCAAGGCTCCTCGGTGACAACCTCGGTGTCCACCTGAGAGTCCTCGTCACAAAAAGGAGGCGGTCCCAGCAATCAGAGTGTCTGCCTTGCTCCTTATCCTTCACAGTGGTGTCTCACGCTGGGCACAAGGAGGACGTCCATGGCAGTCCATGGCTGCCTCTCCCAGCCCCACCACCCTGCCCGCCCCACCCTCCCGTGCGCTGAGTCCAACTTCCTGCTCCACTCAGGAAAGAGGACCCCAGAAGCCAGAGCGGCAGAGGTTTCCCGCTGGGGACAGGTGGTGGGCAGCTGGCAGTGTGACAGATGCAGGGTGGCCACTGCTGCTGCGCCAACAGCCCATGGTTCACTCAGAAAGCAGGGACATGCCTGGAGGTGGGGCGGGTGGAGCCTCCCAGGTGGGGAGAGCGCGGTTAAGGAGAACCATGGGGGAAGCCGGGGTGGTGCCCTCCCCAGCCTCCCTCAGCTCAGCAGATCCGCACACCCCCTCAGGGTCCCCTGCCAGCTCCACAGGGGCAGCGGGGAGCCCTTGGAGGCCATGTGCCAGGGAAAGACCAAGGCTTCACGAAGACAATGCCTGTTACCTTTCCGTAGAAGTCGCTCATCTGCTCCAGGGGCACGTGGGACCCCTCGTACATTTCAATGACTTCCTCATCGGGGACCACGCTGAGGCCTCTGGAAAAGCCAGATGGGGCCTTAGAGAGCGGGCAGGAAAGCGGCGACTCCCAACCCTCCGCCCACCGCTGAGACTTCACCCAGGGCGGAGACACTGTCGGAGCCACGAGGTGCCACGTTCCACGGTCAGTGCCACAAACAACAGGCCCTCAGAGGCACTGCTGCGATGACCCCACTGCTGCCACCACCAGGTAACAGAAGGGCAGCAGCAGCTAGCGCTATCTGGCCCCACTATGCGCCACACAGGAAGACGCCTGGCCAGTCACCTGTCCCTCAGCCCCCGTAGGAGGGAGGCACTGTGGTTATCCCTGCTTCCAGGTGGGGCCACTGAGGCAAAGTAGGTCACTTTGTCCAAAGTAGAAAGTGGTGGGTCAGGATTACAGCCAAGGTCTCTGCGGCTCTAGGGCCCAGGCTCCTAAACCCGGGGACAGGAAGCTTCCGAAGGACTTGCTCTGGGTGGAGCTTTTCCCTCTTAATGTCTTTAACACTTTAGGGCAGAGGAAAACTGGATTCCCCTCCATCGCAGCCATCTTCCTGCCCTCTGACGCGCTTCCCTGAGATGGATGAGAGACACAGGGCACAGGAGGGAGGAAGCTTGGTGACACCTCTGCAGAGGGAAGGACCACCCTGACATGTGCCTTGGAAGGCCAGTTTCTTAGATGTGAAAGAGGAAGATCCGCCCCTCCCTGCCTCTGGCATCTGCACATGAATCCAGTCCCTTCACCTCCAGGGAAGAAAATGAGTTCTGGAGGCCCCAGCTCCGCCACGGTGACTAGAGCAGGTGCCACCTGCCCAGCTGGGCTTGACACCCTAGAGTGACACAGGGGAACATCTGTTCCTCTACCCCTTCCCCTGAGAAATAAACACTGGTCCTTAGGAAACCGGACAGGCAGAGGCCGAGACACACTACGCCACAAGAGCCAAGTCACACCTGAGAATTTTATCACTAACACGCACAGGCTGTCCAGCATGTGACACCACCAGACCAACCCTGAAATGCACATCCGACACAGCTTCTGGCCTGCCGTGCAACACACTGGAAATACCACGGCCCTCTCTCCCCTCATCTCCATCCTGCACTGCACTCAAACACACTCGAGTGGATTCATCTATACTCTGCCTCTGATCCTGACGACCTGCTGCAGCTGCCGGCCTTCGAAAGCAAAAGGAGCCATGTACTTCTACTCTGCTCCAGAAATCAGGTAAGACCTCGGTGCCAAACTGGATCGTTCTAGACAGTGACCTTGAAGGAGCAGCAGGCAGGAGTCCAGCTGCTGTGGCTCCAACCTTAGAAAGGAAAGCCACTACGCTGGGTGACAGCGAATGCCCTGTCCCCAGATGCAGCCCCAGCCTGGTCCTTTGGATGCTACTAAGACACTCGCACAGGTGTGTGGCAACAGGCAGCGTCCACCAGTCTGCTCAGAAGTGGTGAAATCGCGGGCTGCAGTCAGCTGAGCCCCTGCAGACAGCCCGCTGGAGCAGACCGCGCGTGGGGACCACTTAGCCCTGCTGGAACCCTGTGGCCCAACCAGTGAAATCAAAACGAAAGCCCCTCCCCCAGCCCCATGCCAGGCGATGAGGAAGCACAGATGTGAACACATCTGCCCGGGTGCAAATCCCTGCTCCCTAAACCCCTGGGGTGTCCCGTGGCACAGGAACAGGCCTTTTACTCTTAGGCTGCAGCACGAGGAAGGCGCCAGGCAGGGGACAGACACCGACTCTGACTCTAAGGAGGAAGGCGCGCGGCCTTCCTGGACTCTGCAGGTACCAGGGCCAGTTCTTCCTGCAGGTGGCACCCAGAGGCAGAGCTGCAGGGGCGCCTGAGCTCCTCTTCCCCTGTGAGGCGGGACTCTGCTCGGGGCTGCGGGTGCTCACCGTGCTGACACGGCAGGGGTTGCTGTGGGGCATGGCGTGATGATGTGACTGTCCTACACACACATCTGCCTCTCCCACCTGGATGGCGTTTGCTCTTTTTCATCTGGGAAACCTCCTGATTGGGTTTTGGAGCAGGAAAGATCACTGCCTTGCCTCACTGGGTTTGGGGGTTTCTTGGCGGGGGGAGGAGTAGGAGGTATACCAGGGATTGAACTCAGGGGCACTGGACCATTGAGCCCCAGCCCAGCCCTTTTTTATATTCTATTTAGAGACAGAGACTCACTGAGTGGCTTAGCGCCTTGCTTTTGCTGAGGCTGGCTTTGAACTTGCCATCCTCCTGTCTCAGCCTCCCAAGCCACTAGGATTACAGGTGTGTGCCACTGCTCCCGGCTGAGTTTGGGTTTTTTTTGTTCTTTTGTTTATAACTTCATTTATTTATTTTTGTACGTGGTGCTGAGGATTGAACCAGTGCCTCATGCATGGGTTTTTTTTTTTTTTTTTAAAGAGAGAGAGAGAGAATTTTTTTAAATATTTTTATTTTTTTTTTTAAGTTTTCGGCAGACACAACATCTTTGTTTGTATGTGGTGCTGAGGATTGAACCTGGGCCGCACACATGCCAGGCGAGCCCGCTACCGCTTGAGCCACAACCCCAGCCCATGGGTTTGGTTTTAATGACCTTATTTTTCCTGGCTCTGGCCTCTTGGTGTCTCTGTGACCACCAAACCTTCGAAAGCTGAGGTGACCTGCCAACATCCCAGCTCCTGGTGTGTTGATTCACAGTCATGGAGACTGGTCTAATTTTTAATTCCTTATTTCTTAATCCCATAAGACCAAGGATGAGCTTAGCTATCTCAGGGGAATTACTGGAGAAGTCATTTCCTCTCTTTGGGGCTCATGTTCTTCATTCTGTAAGTGGGAATGACGTGGCTGCCTCCTGGACAGTGGTATTACCAAAAAGGCTAAATGAGCAACTATATAAAAAAACAGCTGGCACAGGAAAGCACTGCCCTGCAGAAAAGTACAATCGCCCAGGAGAGAAGGGTGCGTGTCTAAACCAGGAGGCGGCCACAGAAACAGAGACGGAGGCTCCAAGTCAAAAGATCTGGTGGGGATTTTCACAACCACGGACCTGGCCTCACCTTCCTCCCCCCCTCCCTCCCACACCGCTGCTGTGTAATCTGAGACAAACATCAGGAGCTTTTAGCAAAGGAGTCTAGGAATCAACGTGTAAACATTAAGTGGTTTCAAGAAAGAGAAGTTAAAATGGGAATATTTTACGTGAAAGAACAACTTTAAACTTAAAAGTTTGCTAAGTGTGGTACCATCTTTCTGAGGTCAATTAAGCCATTTCAAAAGCCTTAGAATGACTACATTTGCCCAGCAATTTTACTTCTAATAAAACAATACACAAAAATATACAAGTATAACAATATTATTTATAAAATAAAGGAAAAGATCATTTTTAATAGTACAGCTTAAAGGAGATTTCACAATCGAAAGTGAAGACAGAGGTGCTCTGAGGGGCCTTCACACAAGGCCACACAGCATGGTAGCCAAGAACAGACTCGGCAGTCACAAGGTTTAGGTCTGAATTCCAGTCAAGACATTTTTTTGCTGTAACCTTGGGAAAGGTTCTTAACATCTCTCAGACTAAGGACAGTGCCTACCACATGAGGTCATTCTGAAGATCAAATGGGTTTACGCAAATGAAGCCCTTGTTTTGGGCTGGGGATGTAGCTCAGGGTTAGGGTGCTTCCCTTGCATGTATAAAGCTGTGGTTCAATCCCAGGCACCACACACACACACACACACACACACACACACGCATGCATGCCTTATTTTAAAACAGTGCCTATTCACAGCAAGACTCAATATTTGTTAGCCATTATTTAATGTCAGCAACATTATAGTTGTTACCACCAACCACCACCCCGTCTTCCTCCTGAAACACTATTAAAATGACAAAAAAAAAAAAAAAAAAAAGCCCAAGAAAATGAGAGCAAAGATGTCAACAGATCCGACATTTCAACACCGGAAAACCAACAGTGGATGTGAAGGAGGTACCTGAACTACCAACCAGGGGGGCAGAGGCACTCAAGGGGACACCGACAAAATGACTCGCCCCCACAGAGCTCCAGAAAGGCTGTCACTAGAAGGTGCCAGGAAGCTAGTGCAGGATGTACTCCAGCAAAATGAGGGAGTCAAGGCAGAAAGAGGAACAGATGGAAACTAAAAAGGGGGCAAAGGGAGGGAAGTCCTAGGAAAGGAACCGAATGGGATCAGAGCAAGAGGGAGAAGGGAGGGAAAGGAAGGAAACACTAAGCAAGCAAGAGATCATGTTCAACCCATGCTTGACATGGGAGAGGACGCTTGAAAAAGTGGGAACACCTATGCATAAAACCAAACAAAAACGAGGTTCCTGAGTCTCATGAGAAAAACCATACATGGTACAAGAAGAAAATGATCAAAGGACACGACTTGGCCCAAGAGTGAACACACAAGACCTGCAGAGTCACAATGTAAACAAGGACTGGTGTAGCAATGGAGCCCTTAGTGAGGGTCAAAGGATGAGACTGGAAAAGGAGGGGGCAGGGAGCCAGGAGGCAAGGTCCTCCTCTAACTCCACATGGACAATGTCCACAACCTTAAGTTACCTACAGATAGTGAGGGAAAACACCAGTGCCTGGTGGGGAGGGGAGGACACAGGGCTGCTACTGCCCCCTACGAAGCTCTAATGCTACAACCTACATGCATGTTTCACTTTCCGAATCAGTGACTACCTCTGGGAGGGGCATCTTAATATCAAACCATGGTCCCAGGAATACTATCCCCTCTCCCCAACAGCCCACTCCCTCCAAAGCCCTCGCCAGGACCCTCCCTCAGCTCCCAGCCTCTGCCTCCAAAGCCGCTCCTCCCGCACATTCCCCAAAGGACTCCCCCTGGAAGCCCGAGTGCATTTCCGCCATGAGCCCTGCACTCTGGGGTACAGTGGTTCACTCCTGAGGTTCCACCCACACCCCAGCTCCTGGAGAGCAGCCTAGTGGGCCAAACCCCCAGCATCTAGCATGGCAGTCTCGATGAATTTTCTGGAACAAGAGTGAATGAACGGATCATAATACACACCCCACAGCCCTCCTGTCACCGCACAGTCAGGGGGCCCTGAAACCCAAGTCACTTGGCTGCTGTGGGTGAATGACATTTATCTCCTCGTGCTCTTACCTGTAGACAGTCCCCAGCTGGATGTAATGAAAAGCATCAATCTTCATCAACACTGCCTTTAAAAATACAAACACACGCACGTGTAAATAACGTGCACCAATTTGCACATGCAATGAGCAGCCCAGGTGTCCTCATGACTCCTCCCCACATCAGGACGCCCTGCAAGGAGGCAGATTCTGAAAGGCTGGCTTGTTCTTTCTAAGGAAATGGTTTATCAGCAAAAGAGAAAAAGAAAAATAAGTACAGCAAGTGGCTCCTCCTCCAAACACCAAAAAAATGACTCCTGGAACCCAGCTGCGCTCCCACCGCAATGGCGGGCAAGCTTCTCCAAGAGAGTCACTTCAGAAAGATCTTACCCAAGTATGTCTGCATCGCCTTGTTCTGCAGCCTCAATGAACATGATTTAAAGCTGATTTACCCCTCAGCAAAGAACGGCCCCAAGAGCACCACCTCACTAAGGACCATTTTCTTTGCAAAGACCGCGACACTGCAGGAAAGCGGGGAATGCCACCTACCCGCTGCACGTCGTAATGCAGTCCGCGGATGGCGAAGTTGGGGTCGTACTCGTATTTCCTGATTTCCATGGGATACTGTGAGGAAGAAAGGAACATGTTTCAGCTAACGAGGTCCTGCCTTCAGGGTCGCGTCCAGATCAGGACTTGTACAAAGATGGGGGCGGGGGGGGGGGGAAGCACTCTGGCAGGAAGGCGGGTCAGAGGGACGAATCACAGCTTGCTCCTCTGTGCCTCCTGCCACAGGCAGAGCCCTGGGTCCTGCCCAGCACCCTATTTACCTGTCCAAGCAGGGTCAAGCTTCACCCCCCTCCTTCATCTTCTCTCACGTGAACTCTGTCCCCACTTTCCCTGTTCTCTGCCACCAGGCTCCCAGATCTCTAAGGACCCTGAAACCCATCTGCCTCTCCCTGCCCCACCACCTCCTCCCCTTGCGTGTATGGCTGCCGAGGTGGGGGGACTGGAATGACCCCTCAAACACACCGTCTGCCTCCGTTCAGCTCCTGACACCAGGAAACCTCATGGACCCACCACCCAGTTGCAGGCAGAGACACAGATGAGACCTTTCCGAGGGGACCTTCCACTCAGCTTCCATCGCTCTCCTCTGGACGGTCAGGCGCGGCCAACCTCCCTGCTGAGAACCCAGAGCTGGGGGTGCGGCCCCTCCCTGCACCTGCACCAGGGGGCCCCTTGCTCAGCACGCGGCTCCTGCTCACCCCTGTCTCAGAACACACAGGACCTCTGAAAGCAGCCCACTCCCCAGGTGCTTCCTAGTTATGAAGTGACTCCTTGTTCCATGGAAAGATGCTGGCGGCCACTCTGCCATACTGGACACCTCAGTCCTTTAGTCTGTTTGCAGATCTCAGATCTAGAACAGCAGACCCCAGGCCCTGTGTCTGCGGCTGCTGCCACAGCGGATCCTGCCACACCGTCTTACAGAGGGGACATCAGAGGCACCATGAAACCCAGCCCAGGTCACCCAGCTGGGGCAACAGGGCAGGGAGTCAGGTTCAGCCTCCGCCCCACACTCCCATAGCCCCTGGGCCCTCAAGCACAGACAAGTCACCACTCTCCCATCAGGATGTAAACTGAAGGAGTAAAAACCCAGACAACATCAGAACTCCCAGGAAACCTTTCTGTGGCCACACTGCCACCTGTTCACGGCCAGGGTCACATGTGTATGAGAACATTTCCTGGTACCACCAGGCTGAACACACGAGACATATTTTTAAGTCAAGCTCCAAGAAGCACTGACTCAAATGTCACATTTGGGCTCATTTATCTAACGCCTACCACTTGTGCCAAGAAATTACCAAACTGATATTTCCACGGGTGGGCGTTTCCAAGGATTCTGAACACCATGTCCGGATCTGCATCTTTATGGACACACCTGACATGGCCCACGCTGAACCTAGCCCTGGTGACACAGTTCTGCTTATCAAAGGGAAGCCAAAGGACCTCAGCACCTCTGAAACCTCCTTCCAAACTGGGGAGTGATGAAGGAGAAAGGTCAGACAGGAAAGATGCATTTAAAATGTCACGGAAAGACACCCAGGCTGAGCATCTGCTGTGCTGCACACAGACCAGACATCCTGACTCCACGCCTTGCCACACCAGCAGGAAGGAGACAGACGCCCCTGCCTGATCTCCTGGTGAAGAATCCGAGGATCAGAGTCAAAGAACTTGCCTGGGGTCACCTGGGGCCAAGTCACACCGAAGTCCACCCGTCACCACCGCCTAATCAATTCTGAACCCCATCCCGGCTTCTACACTGGACACTCGTCACTTCCTGGTGACAGCAGAGCCGGCCAGCTCCGAGGGCTCACCAAGCTGCTGGAAGGACTCCCGGCCGCAAAGAGAAGGATCTGAGCTGATCCAGGACACCGCCCCTGCTGACATGTCTGGTGGCACTGTCTTTGAACAAGGCTTCTCTGGGCGCCCTGGCTGGGCGCGGCCCCTCACAGGCTCCTGTTGCCCCAGCCTCTCCACTCACTGGGTGATTCTTGGGGAGCCCCTTCTAATAGACAGTTTTCAAGTGGTCCAAAGACAATAACTGTCAGCGACCTCGAGAGACGCAGCCCCGAGAGGACAAGGTCTTCAAGGGGAACACGGGCTGAGAGGAGGCTCCAAATCCTGGGCCACCATGTGCTAGCAGGTGACCTTGGGCAGGGTCCTCTCCTGGTCTTCTCACCTACAGAGTCAAGACAGCAAGAGCTGTGGAGGTGCAGAAGTTCACGTCCAGAAACACCTGTGGGGAGTCAGCGTAGAGCCTGGCACAGAGCAAGTGCTCAGGAAAACGGAGCTACCTCCGCGGGCTGCGACCGGCAGGCGGGGACAGACCACTCTCCCGCCTCCGCTGCCCTCCAGCAGCCCTTAAGACAAGTCCTCCCCTCCCCACGTCTGCAAAACGAAATGGCTGGACGAGGGTGATTTCTAGGCTCTGCTTCTGCTCCTGTGTTGTGATCTCCTCATACAACGGGTCAATTCAAAAACACTCTCACAATCAGCCCCTTTCCAATACGAGTGCACATGTGTATGGGTGGGTGCGCGCGTGCGCACACACACACACACACACACACACACACACAGCTTTCCTGGGAACAACGGCAAACAGTAACATCAAGCCCAGGAAGCCAGAACTGTGCCAGAGCCTGGGAACGCCACAGCCAACAAAATGACAGTCTCTGTCCCTAAGGAAGTCCACCCTGCTGTGGTGAGGCAGGTCATAGCACACGCGCACACACACACACACACACACAATGCCTCACAGTGATTCCTACTGTAAAGAACGTGCAGTATGAGGGTTACAGACCCACTGGGAATGGGGAGCCAGCCTCGGGCTGTCAGGGGGCAGGATGGGCATTCCAGGGCAGAGGAAAGAGCAAGCACAAGGCCCAAAGGTGGCAGCACAAGGCTGGTGTCGCGGAGCAGAGCGAGAGGCAGGCTCTGGAAGGCGCCTACTTCATGCCCAGGGTGATGGGAAGGCTGGGGAAGGCTGGAGGTGACCGAGTGCAAGGGTGGCGTGACCAGGTCTGAAGGCTCACTCTGGCAGTGGGACACAGGTGACAGAGAAGCAGAGAAGCCAGGCAGGAGGCCACTGCGCCAGGGCGGCAGCCGCACAGGAGGGGAGGAGCGGCGTGAGGACACACACCAGGAGGACCTTACAAAGGAGTAAAAGGAGCCGCAGCTGTGCAGTGACTTCCTCCCAACAGCACAGTGTGGAAAGGGACAAAGTGGGAAAGTGGGAGCAACTATAACATGGCAGAAGCTCCTCAGCGGGGACCCCACCCCGCCCCGCGGTCTTCCTCCCCCACCACAGCCCAGTTTAATCATGAGGAAAACCTGGGACAAACCTGAGAAGCCACCCCAGAACACTGACTTCACACTCAAGGGGGGTCAGAGGAACTGCAGAGCCCAGAGGGGCCTAAGGAGACGGCCAACTGCAACACAGGTCCTCCCGGGGTCCGGGGCAGGAAAAGGACGCTGCGTAAAGACTAAGGAAGTGTGAATAAGGCAGGGACTTCAGCTGGACTCATCAACATGGACTCTCCAGCTGGGACGACGTACCATGGTGACATAAAACGTTGCCATCAGGGAACCTGGGCACACACGGGGTACGTACACAGGAAGTCGGTCTTATCTTTGCAACTTTTCCATAAACCAAAGACTGTCCTGAAGCTAAAAGTTTATTTTAAAGAGAGAGACTCATTTTAAGGAGAGATCTGACATGGAACACAGAGCACAAGGAGCCAGAGGGGACATCAGGCTCTGCATCTGAACAAGCAGGTGACCACAGGTGCCCACTAATGAGAAGACGATGCTCACGAGGTGTGCACTGGAGAGACAAAATCAAGAGCCCTTCTCGCACCCCCAGTTCCTTGGTGGAAATGAAAATGCAGGCACAGCAATGACCCAATTTTTTGATTTCCATTTTTTATAAAAATCTGTTCTTGTTCCCCCCCAAAGAAGAAAACAGGATAATTACAAAGAAGCTGGAACTTTTTTACATTTGCTTTTTGGAAAGATGCTAAATTGAAAATCTACTGTTCTGTCACCGTGTGTCTCAAAAGCAGATGTCTCCACCTCGGCAAGCACACGCCGTGCCTCAGCGCTGGCAGCAGAATGGCACCAGCTCACTGTGTCTTAGAAGAATTATTTTGCTTAATCAGAGCAAGACCAAATCTGCATAAGCATAAATGGCTCTATTAATATGCCTGATATAATTAGTACTATATCATTCTTTTTGTCAAAGCAACAGACATAATGAGAATGAAATTTCAATGATCTTCAATCTAGAGGCTTTTCAATCACAACTCCACCTTTAATATTATCCATCTATTTCATCTCTCTTCCCCCCAAACTGCATAAGTGTTTTATGTTCATAAATTTTTTATTATCATGAATATTTTAGTTTCATCTGAACAAAAACCCACAGGGTACACAGGTGTCATTAACCCTTTAAGGGGCAGCACACAGTAGAGAGCACATAAGTCACCCAGAAACCAACGGACCCGAGTTTGAATTCTGGTTCTGACTCTCACTGACCTGTGGTTTTGAGACAGTAGCTCAAATCTGAGTCAGAATTTTCTCTAATGTATACAGAGACAACCTGTTTGTGCCGGGCAGCGTCAAAATAATATTATCAGTAACAGCGGGCACTTCCTGGACTTTTCTGTGCCAGGTGCTCTACATACATTAACTCATTTAATTTTCACAGTTGCACTGTGGGGAATTCTACAGAGGAGGAAACTAAGTCCAAAGAAATTGGGTGAGTGGATCAGGATTATGCAGGAAGTGAGTGATGACAGCAGGATATGCAGCCAGCGGTCACTCTCAGGAACCTGGACACTTCCAGCCCTCAGCAGACAATCAATGAACAGAACTGTCAGGGTAACGCCCTGCACTTCACAAACGGCATCAAAGCCAACCAAATGTACCCATGCAGTGCCCTTCAGCTCCACCCCCCCGGGGGCGGGGACAGATGGTGGAAGGCACAATCAAAAACCTGGGCCAAACCACCTAGTTACTCTGCTTCTGTCCTCACGCTCCTGGGAGAGGACCACAGTTCAGACGGACGAGAAGCTCTTGAACAAATGGAGAAACCCAGTTGTCAAAGTGGCCAGAACTAAAGAAAGCTGCAGCTGGCTCGATGCGAAAAGGAAAGGTTACTTTTGCCAAAGGCCATTTCTGCACTTTGGATTAGGCTTAAATCCACTGATACCCAAATATACAGGCCGAATGGTCAGGATCCAAAACTAACGGGAACTGGGCTGCACTAGCAGAAGCCAGGCATCGGGAGCAGGGAGGTGGCAGTCTCCTGGTTCCACACTTCACACCGCCGCCAGCCACACCTGCAGACCAGGGCTCCGCCTGTGAGCGGGACACACCAGAGCACACACAAAGTGGGCACCAGGACAGCGAAAAGGGAAGAGGGCCAATGAGAACCGCTGAAAGAACACCACGGTCACCTAGGGAGAGAGAAGTCTTGGCAGGTAAATGGCTGGTCTTCGTCACACCCAGGCCACTGCACGTCCCCTGTGCTTGGTCCATGTATACATCCATTCTCATGTTCCGGGGTTCGTAGGCTACCCAGGCCCACCCACTCCTCCCACCCCAGCCCACCTCTGCCTGCAAACAGGGCCACAGCACCAGCCTCTGGTTTCTCCACTCCCTGAGGCAGAGGAAGCATCCCCCCTCCCCACGGCCTCGGCTCCCTGTAGGTGTACAGGCCTCCACCAGGTTCATGTGTGTGTGATGGACTCCCCAAGGGCCAGCTGGGTCCTACTCATCATTACCCTCTGGACATCTAAGGCAAGGCAGGGCTCAGAGGAGGCAGAACAAAGATTTATGAAATGTTGGAAAGAAGGGAGGGAGGGAGGGAGGGAGGGAGGGAGGGAGGGAAGGAGAACGGAGAGATGGATGGTGAGAGGCTGACGAAGGCAGACTTGTTCAACCTGTGGGAGAACTTGCCAGAATTAGAAAGAAACCCCGGAGCTACACACTCCAGTCCAAGAAGATTCTGGCCACACATCTCAGGAGGGCATGGGGGCTTCTCAAAGTGAACTGGCCTTGACCAGCTCTGCAAGGCTTCTCTTCCCCACTGTGGAAGCATCCCCACTCCAGACTAGGAAGAAGAACGTTAGGTGCCCAGTGTTTTCTTCTCATTAAAAGCTCTCAAAACACCGTGCATCAGAGGGCATTCTTCACCTAAGAAAGCAATTCAAACCAGCAGGAGGTGAACCTCGCCCACTGTTGAGGAGTCAGCCAGAACTTAACAGGCTGCCTCCCTCCTCCCAAGCACTGGCAAAAGCCATGCTGCTACCTTGCAACAGCAAGGTGCAAACAGCCACAGCCATGTCCGGACTGACGCTCGCTCCTTTCCAAAGAGACATCAGAACTTTTTTTTTTTTTTTTTAAATACAACTATCTAGATAAGGTCACTTGGAAATCTGGGATGGAAGGACAGCTACACATTTATTCAGAAAAATTTACTAAACTACTTCTAAGCACTAGACCTGGGGCATATCCACTCAAGGCTGTTTGCTCTTCAAGTATCTAAGGGAAAAAAGAGAAAGGAGACTGAAAAGTCCCTGTGACCTCACCCGGTGTTCGTTGATGAGAAGGTCCCGAGCGGCATTAAATATCAGCGTGTGGAGGTGCTTGGAGTAGAACACCAGGGTGTAATCGTAATCGAAGCCGTAGATCTCGATGTCCGACAGGCTCATTTCATTGTTGGAGAAAATGGCATCTGGATTCAGCAAGTTGCTCATAATCGAAGGAACCAATTCTATGAGGAAAGAACACTTGTTAGCCATGTATCAAAACCCAGCAAAACGGGTGAATTGACACAAGGTCACCATTACATCACAATGAAAGCATTTTAAAAAAAAAACACTAACTTCAACATCACAAAAAACATTTGCTGTGTCCAAAAACTCACAGGCTAGTTATAGACCGCAGAAGATAAAAGTAGAGATAATGACATTTAAAAATTACATATCTCACCACGATGGGTTGCTACCGATATTTTGATATATTTTCACACAGCTGATCTCACACTATATACACTGGTTTGTATTATACTCTCTAAACTTAATATTCACCATGACCCTATTCTCATAAACTCTGAACTACTATGAGACCTTGGCACACTGCTGGGCCATAACTACCCTCTGACTGTGTCACACACTTATCTTCTTTCCCATTTAGTAATCATAACCTAGCAATGAGCACTGTGTCCACCTGTGCCTGCCTTTCAGATCACCTCCTTCCCCTGGTTTACTGGAAGCATGACTGCCCCGGCTAACAGCAGGGCCCACCCATCTAATTAGTTTCTTTCTGTAGCTATCCTACCTATTTGTGGGAATTGCTAGATTGTGACTTGGAGATCTTCCAAGAATTCATTCTACCTTGTTATTTCCCTGAGTTCTTTGGACCCTTTTAAAAATCTGACACACCAGCATGGGGTGTAGCTCAGTGTTTGAGCGGACATGCTTGGGCCTGGGTTCGATCCTAGCACCACCACTCACACAAAAAAGAAATGGGAAAATGACAGGTGACCCTTAAGACGTGCAACGGTGAGGTAAGCCAGCACCATGACATCATCCTTCGGCGCTCACGGCTTAGTTTTCAAGAGGGTATGAAAGAAGTCTTTGCAGTCATGTTCATAGGTTCCATGGAGGATTTGTAATTGTCCCCAACAAAAACAGCAAAAAACGAAATGAAATGAAATTTAAAAGCAGCAGCAAGTGGGCTGAGCCAGGAGCCATTTCATAGTTATGATAAAAGTCACATGTGACTTCAGGGAGGCAGAGAGCAGTTCTCAAGTTCAAGGGTGATGACAAAATTGACCATGTAGGTGAAATCTCAGACCATGAGGTTCCCAGGAGCACATCCTCTGTGAAGTTAGGATCAAAGACTGAACGATATATTAGCAAAAAAAAAAAAAAAAGGAAATGTGATATTCTTATCCAGGAAATCATTGAACAGGTACTCAATACTCATTGAAGAGGACGAATTTCATGTGTGTATTTTGTAACAAAAACAAAGTCCCATTTTGCTAAAGGATATGTGACAGTATTCTTTCACCTTTTATGATGTTTATGCATCAAAATCTGCTTGAAATGGCTCTTAAGTAAACAAATGTTAAAGGCAAGAGCCTTTTTGGCGGCAGGGGCCAAACAGCTCTCACACACACATAAACATAGAGCAGTACCTCCCTACTCCCTGCGTTCCTAAGGACAAACACCCAGCTCCAGCAGAACAGCTGATGTCATTTTTGAGATGGGGTCTCAGTATGTTGCCTGGGCTGGCCCGAACTCCTCAGCTCATTTGATCCTCCTGCCTCAGTAGCTGGGACCACAGGTATGTTCCCCTGTGCCCGGCAAATGGCTGCTATTGAAAAGGTACCTACCATGCACCACCAAGTGGCAGACCTGGAATCTGAACCTGGCAAGTCTGGCTCCAGAATCTACGTTCTTGGCTCCCCCCCGAGGTGCCAGGGAACCCAGCAGCACTGTGTAGGGTGCATTAATTCTAAAATAAAATGGAGTCTACCCATCATCTCTCGGGGTTTTGTCTGTTCTCAGTACTGGGGATTGAACCCAGGGGCACCTTACCACTAAGCCACATCCCCAGCCCTTTTTAGTTTTTATTTTTAGACAGGGTCTTGCTGAGTGGCTGAAGCTGGCCTGGAACTTGCAATGCTCCCGCCTCAGCCTCCTGAGTCACTGGGATTACAGACGTAGGTCACCGTGCCCCACAACAGCCCATCAGTTCTGAGCTTCCTCTTTCCTTTCTGCTCATGTCTTTCTCTGAATGGCCACGGTTTCTACATCTGCTCTGAAGAGCCACCTGGGATACTCTGTATGCACTGCTCTCTCCCAGTGACAGCCTCAATCAGGGACCAAGGCCCCAATCATGGGGCACAGGGTCCCACCGTAGTGAGATATCCTGAGCATTTCACAAGGCTCCTTAAAAGCTTAGGGACAAGGATACCTTTGAAAACCTTAACAGGAGCTATGGAATCCTCTCCCTAGAAAAATGCAGGCTCTGCAAAAACTTCAGGGGGTTTGTCCCCAGAAGCCTATTCCTGACCCCATGACACCTACTTGAAGCCAGACTTTCATGTGCCTCCTCAGAATTTCTAGACCACAGAAGGTAAATGTATAAATGCACAACTTAGTTTCACGCATGCTGACAATCTACAACGACTGGGTCGACTGAAAACCCAGTCAATATTCACGGACAACTCCATTTCTTCATCAGTTTCTTTTGTCCAGAGCCATGAGACAACAGCCTTGGCTTTTGTTTTTTGTCTTCATTTGCAAAGAACACAGACCTGAGGAAGCAAAGAGACTGACACTGTGGCAGACCTGGAGGCAGGCAGTGCCCAAGGACCAGCCCCAGGACGGGGAGCACCAGGCGCCCCAGCTCCTCTGCACCAACACTGATGATCCTCTGCCTTACGTAACCCCCAGGCGCCGCAGACCGTGCTATTTTCTGAATGTGACCACACAGCAGCATCCATATGATATATGATGCAGTGACGCAGGATCACTTACAGAGTGACCAAAAGCTCCTCTGTCACGAACAACCTTTGCAAGGGAAGTTCTAACAGCCTGTCTTGATTAACGTTTATATTTAGAAACGGTGTTGGCAAGAAAGCGGATCTGCGTTCCTACCCCCTGAGAAGACTAGGCGGAGGCCTCAAGGAAAGGCCAACATGCTGGAAAGTCCCCATGGCCGGCATGTCCCTGGAGGCTGCAGGGGATGAGGCAGTGTCCCTCAGGTGGACACCACACCCTAAGGACTGGGCTTACTGTGTCATCCCCAAGACAGGCACGAAGAGCACCAGCAGATGCTGGAACACACCGGCCACCACCAACAACCCAGAGCTGGGAGCGAACGTGATCAGTGACGAGGCCAAGGAAAGAACGCCACCACTCCCGAGAAGAGAAGCCGGCTCCAAACCTCAAACCGAGGAGCAAAGGCCCCGACTGGCCAGCCCCGCACCTGCCCAAAGGAGAATCCAGGGTGCGTTCAAATTTAGAAAGCAAATTCCTTTTGTGTGTGATGGATGGTGACAACAAGGTTACGTCATTGGCACAGAGAAGCGGCAAGGTCCAACCAGAACTCGGTTCCAAGAGCCACGCCGACCGGGAGGCCGTGTGTCTACAGGCAAAACTCTCACGTTTTCTGTTTTGATTAGAGTTTGGGGCATTTTTGATATTGTGGCACAATATACATTCTTATGCTGGCAACCATTTTTAAGTCATCTTCAGTGACATTAGGTCCATTCAGCGTGTTGTGCCACCGTCACCACCAGCCACCTCCAGAACTCTTCATCTTGCAAAACTGAACCTTCGTACCCATCAAACAGTGACTCTCCCTGACTCTCCCCACTGCCACCCTTCTCCTCTCTGTGAACCTGGCCTTGCCAGCACCTGGCAGACCCGGAGCCACACTGTATCTGTCCATCTCTCTGCGTGACACCGTCCAGGTTCAGTGAAGGGGTGCGGGCAGTTCCTCCTGAGGCCGAATAACACTCCGCTGCCCACCACGCTTTGCTCATCCATTCATCTACCGATGGACACAGGGTGGCTGCTACCTTGTGACCATGTGAACAACGCTGCCATGGACACGTGTGTGCAAGTGCCCACTCACGGCCCATTTCCCGTCCTTTTGGATATACACCCGGAGGTGGAACTGCTGGCTCACGTGGTAACTCTATTTTTAATGTTTCTGAAGAGCTGCCCTATTGTTTTTTTAATAGCAGCTACATCATTTTTCTATTTTGCTTTTTTAAAATTTTTTTAGTTGTAGATAGACACAATATATTTATTTATGTATTTTTATATGGTGCTGAGGATCGAACCCAGATCTCACACCTGCGAGGCAAGTGCTCTGCCACTGAGCTACAGCCTCAGCCCCCTTGTTTTGCGTTTTTAAAGAAGCCTCAGAATACCATTTTTTGCCTGAATTCTACTGATAGGAATAGAAAATGGATGAATTCAGAACTCAGGCACAAAAGTCAGTCATCTTCCCCCAATTCAAAGAAAATTAAACTGTGCAGAGACCTGAGCTTGGGAAATACAGCTTTTGCCAGTGACCTCCTTAACGTTCAGGAATACTAAATGACTCTCCCTTAAGCCCAGCACCATCTGTCACAGAACAGTGTTTGGGGACAGTGCCAACAAATTCATGGCCAGAGTCGTGACAAGGGAGATTCCTAATGTCTTCAGAAGGGCGGCTCTCATTTGTCCTTGGGGCACAGCCTGGAAAGCTCCCAAGCTGACCAGATGCATTACTTCCTCACGGCATTGTCCCAGGAAGTGTCAAAGGAAGGTTTAAAGGACGGGGTGACAAACTTAGGCTGCCTGTGATAAGCCGTGCTGTGGGCCCTGGTTGCTTGTGCTCACCCAGTGGGGCTGCTCCATCCATCTCAGGCTCACTCTATCCCCTGGGCTCCTCTTCCAAGCACATGGGGAGCATGGCTAATCTCCCTCCCTCTCCCCACCTTCCCACCTCCCCACACCTAGCTCTGGCCAACGAATCGTGGCTGAAGTGATGAGTGACATGTGTCACTGCCTAAGCAGCACATGAGCACACGTGATACGGAAACTACAAGATGAAGAAGCTTGGAAGGCTAAGCCACAGAGGCTGGCTGCCCTGGAAGAGCTGCCGGAAGCCCCTGAAGTCTTACCATGAGTGACAAGTGAACTCTGGTTACAGCTGTCTGTAGTAAGCCACTGAGATGTGTTGTTGCTTGTCACTGCTGCATAACCC